TGACAGTGTTTCCTTATCGTAGTGGTGCGCCTCTGAGGATGATTCTTTTGAATCGAAACATGTAAGGTGAATGAGGACTGAAGTGTTGTAAACTCGTATGTCACACTGGACTGAACATTTCATTATCTACTCTGACATGAATATTTGTTTTGCTTCTGCTTTAATAGCGACAGCTGAGAAAACTACCGAAGCTACGCATGCGCAATTGTCTACGCTGACAGATCCTAAACATTCGCTCACAATGTACGAGCATATGATACATCACTTTTACGTAAACATTTACAAACATGGCGATGGTGCGTCTATACCGGAATGGCGAGTTCTGCACCAAAAATGTATCATTAATAATAATAATAATGATAATAACAGAACTCTGGAGAGGGCACGCGGAAGCGTAGTTCGTTGAGGCTCTATGCTACAAGCGGCAAGATCGCGGGTTCGATTCCCGATGTGATCATTGGATTTTTAAATTGACCTAATCCTTCCAGCCGCAACATAGCCCTGGGGTCGACTGAGCCTCTAACAGAAATGAGTACCAGGAATCTTCCTGCGGGCTAAAGGGCAGCCGTCGCGTATGGCACACAACCTCGCCCACATTTGTGAGCCGATTGTCTAGAAAATGTGGAAACCTCGACGTCACACAACCCAATGGACCTCCACGGTCGGTTACAGGGATAGCTTTGCCCTTTCAGTGAGTGATAACAGAACACAGAATAATGCCGGAGAAACTCAGTCGGTATAGCGACGAGCTGTACAGCCGGGGTTGTTTCCAAGCAGGGGCAAGTTTTCTCTTGTCCACAGCGCTCAGACCAGATCTGGGCCCATCCAGCCTCCTATGAAATGGGTTCTGTGGCCTCCTTCCTCCGATATAAAGCGGCTGGAATGTGTCGTGCAGAAGGCAGTAGCAGTGAGAGCTTCCGAAAAAGTAGCTCTCAGGAGCACAGCTTGTGTTATTCGGTCGAGGTTTGTTGCAGCTTTGGTTAAATGTCGCTGCTTCCTCAGAACCTTTCATTTTCGCAGCATTCACGTTCAATGGAAACCTGATTTCAGAGTGCCTTAAGCAGTATAATATCGTGACTTACGAAAGGCGAAATAGCGGAGCAAGCAGAAACACAGCGTTGTTAGTAAATGCCTCTCTAAACACGTTTCCATGGCAACAAAGTCACGTCACCACAGCAACAGTTAGCACGCAACAATTGAGGATAGGTTGGAGGCGGTGTTTTCCCTTGGGTCCGTGCAGAGACTACATCAGGAGAAGTAGATTAGAAATGGTTCTGACGATAGTGTATAACACTATGTTCAAGTGACAAAGTTGGTACAGTTTACCTAGTGTAATACATTTGCGAAAATTCCACCGTCAACATCAGTGCACTTTACAACTCGTGTGAGGACATGGCGTGTTGCTGTCTGTACAGTGTACTGTGCAGTGAAATAGCTCTATCTCGGAAACCGGTTGGAGTAGGACACATGTACATATACACCTTTTGCTTAGAATGACCGATACTCTGACCTCCCAGAATACTGACCTTTGCTTCTGGGGCATCTGCATGTCACAAAATATTATTATCCGCCATTACTTTATCACATATTTTTTGCTTTCTTCTGATTCCTTCTCTCTAGGTTCGTTTGAGAAGGACATATGTAATTCCTATCTGCTACCTGTTCCTATCCTTTCTCCCTCTTTCTCGCTGTTGTTCTCATTACCACGTGACGCCTCCTGCCACCGAGTCGTCATGCATTATGCGTTGCAGCCTGTACTTCATGCCCAAACACTGTAATGTAAATAATACATGTGGCAACCGCGCAGCGCCGGTAAACACAGCGAACAGAGTTCACAACTTCTGCCTTCTTTCCACGAACACATAATGTCCATCTGTCTCCATATTTCGCTTCCGATGCTGTTAAACAAATTTCGATAAAAGTCGATATTGGGTAAAACAAACGAACGTTAAGGAAAAACCAAAGAGTGTGGAACAAATTGTCACGGAATATTTACCCTGACAGGATAGATATATCGATGAGAATTTGTGTTCACTGCACGGATAGATAATTAGTAAATGCTTTTCATCTCAGATTATTATCCTCCAGGATGTGAAGCCACATAATCTGGTTTTAAAAATAATGTTTCGGCTTCATATTAAAGGTACTAGTACAAGAGATAATTCTGGGCATGACATTCCTCCGAAACGTCGATATGCACATCCCAGAAGACAGTCGCCATAGCCACATACACGAGGACCTCAAATCATTTTCATAGGGCCTGAAACATTTGTCCTGTGACTGAAGGAATATATTTTTTTATTGCTAGTGGGGTGGAACTACGTCCCTTGTACTGCAGCCAGTTCTGGTCTATTTTACCAGGCCCAGATGATAGGTGAGGGTGATGGGTGGAATGAAGATTGGCAGGGGAAACCGAAGTACTCGGAGAAAACCTGCCCCAGCGATACTTTGTCCACCACAAATCCCACTTGACCAGACCCGAGATCGAACCCGGGCCGCCGCGGTGGGAAGCCAGGGACTAACCGCTTGAGCTATGGCGCGGCCACGAAGGAAGACATAGTACGCGGTCAGCCGTTTGAGATTAACCTGTAACTTGAAATGGATTTGACTTCATATCTAAAGGAATCTGACGAAGCCATATGACTCTTTGCATAAATGAGTATTTTTAGTGTTTGTTCATCGTGTAATATCCTGATAGAACATGATGTTTCGGAGACAGGGTCTGTTTCCTTCCTCAGGTGAATTGGTCCTTTAGAAATTCCTAATCTCTGACGGGACTTGGAAGGAATATAATGTCCCGGAAACTGGACCCATTTCAATTGTCACTTCAAGGGGGGCGTGCAGTAATTCAGATGAAGGCTTTCTGCACTTTCCAATTGACCCATCAGAGTAGGTGTCTCTCGGCCTTTGACCTGAGAGCGGAGACAGGTCCAGTTTCCGGGACATTGGGTTCCTTCAGAATAGTACACGATGGGTATATGGGTACAGTCCAGGAAGGCAGTGATCCAAACTAACTCACTAACAAGTCGGTATAGAGAAGGAGGTCGGGCTGGACGGACCGTGTTCGGTTCCTGGTTGTGGCTAGATTTATCCCTTCTGCACAACGTCCAGCATGACGGACCGGAATTGAGTTAAGTTGAATGAGGTTAAGTCACACGCATAAATTCACCTTCAATTCATTATTTCTCCTATATTATATGCACCTAATATAGTATGCCCCACTCAAGGCGTGGATGCCTGTGTGTTGTCCTGTGTGTAGGTAGCGGCCTTGCGACGGGCTGATCCCCTGTCTAAGGAGTCCTACTGTCTGTGTAAAAAAGATTACGAAATTGAAGAAGAGGCCAGGGCCCAACAAAGGGCTGCAAAGCCATTGATGAATGAATGAATATATTTTGTTTCATTTGAAAATCAATATTAGATATTTATACACTATGGTCTCCTATTTCATATACGAATGTGTGGGGGGAAGCATTGATAATATTTATTTTATTCCAATAAATCAATACGGCAGTAATTAGTAACTATATATATTCGTGACTGATTTTGCTGATATGTTTTATTTGCGAGGGAATTAAACAGAATTTAAAATGAAACTCTTCTGTAAAGTCCATAACCAAAATAAACAGAAGTTGTTTACAGACATGGATGATGTTTCAGGTCTAACAAGCTCAGTAAAGTACCCGATGAATAGCTCCGAGCTTCGAAACTTCGTGTTTTAAATTTGAAAGCTTAAAAAGTTGGCGTTTAAAAAAGTCAATTTCTGGAACCGAGAGCGGAGAAATGTTTTAGAAATTCGTAACGTGCGATCTTGCAGGCCTCATTGGGCTTGGTGTTAATTTATTGTAGTTAAACTCTATTACTGTAGGTATAGACCCACTGCTTCACTACTGAAGTTACACATTCGCCTTCGCCACAGCGCCCAGACCGGCCCTGGGGCCCACCCAGCCTCGTATCCAATGGGTATCGGGGGCTCTCTCCCAGGGGAATAGCGGGTGACGCTGATCACTCACACCTCTTTAGTGCCAAGAATAGTGGAGCTATACGTCCACTCCCCTATACTTCTTCATGGCGTAATGTTCAATTAATTAAGCACAGGGAAATATTTATCTCAGTCACATACTTCCACGTAAATATATATAGAACACGATAATTGCGGCTGTTACATTTCCTACTTGGTTTATGTTTAACCCTGAAGACGGAGACAGTATGTGCCTTCGAAACATTGATTAACTAATACCAGACTACACTTCAAGCAGCCGGGCCGCGCCATAGCTCAAGCAGTTAGTCGCTGGCTTCCCACCGCGGCGGCCCGGGTTCGATCCCGGGTCTGGTCAAGTGGGATTTGTGGTGGAGAAAGTGGCGTTGGGGCAGGTTTTCTCCGAGTACTTTGGTTCCCCTGCCAATCTTCATTCCACCAATTGCTCCACAATCACCCTCACCTATCATCTGGGGCTGGTGCAATAGGCCAGAAGTGGCCGCAGTACAAGGGACTTAGTCCCACCCCACTAGCAATAAAAAAAACCTTCGAGCAGACGTACAGGTTCTGTTTAAGTAAAAATCTTTGAACATAACCCCAAAACCTGGAAAGCCGTCTTGTTTTTGTTATTGATTTTTAAACAATATTTCGTACACATTTTGCTGTGTTTTTCCTAATTTTCCTCAGCAACTCCTGTTGAATACCATATTCATATTTTTAGATATGCCATCTTGCAAAAGCTGTCCATTATTTTCACATAATGTTAAAATCTGTAAATTGCGTTAGAATTTACGGTGTCAATCAAGAAATACTCATCCCGAATTCGATCCGCCAAGATGTTCGGGGAATCACCAAGTTCCTGTTACGTAAGAGAAGTAACCCGAAACCCCGTTGGAGAAGGATGAGTGATTGGCCGTGGAGCATGTGAGGCAGGGAGAGGGAGTACACGGAGACTTGCGCATGCGTGTACGGAGAACAGAGCCGCAGAGAGAGTTGGTGTGCTATTAGAAGGCAGTCACAGACCGGTACGCAATGCCGTCGGAAGATTTCTCTCCGAGTGGAGTCTCTACATAAGTTTACCAGCAGCCAAGTCTACTTCATCAACCAAAGTTCAGCGAAGAAATTAATGTACAGTGAACAGTATTAAAAGTAACTAGAAGAAAGTTTGTTTAAATATCTCGGGGTACTAGCGTCGTCTTTATATTTCTTTCCATAAATTATTCTGTGAGTTTTAAAGCATTTTAGTTTAGATAATTGAAAAGCTTTTATAGAAGAAGTTGTGAGAGAACTTTCCGGCATACTACTTAAATAATAACTGTTACCTAGCCACCTTTTGACAGCTGTAGTTTTGTATAATGCTCGTAACACAAATAGGATTGATACAAACCAAACGCCTTTACTTTGATCTGTAAAAAGCGTGAATATTTGGTAAATAAGTTTTAAACAAACCTCAAGATATCTTGTGACAGAAGAAATTTGTTTCTTCACAACAAACTTTTGTGGTTGAATCGATGGGACAAAGTTGTCAGTCAACAGGACTTGTGTCATTTGCCTGAAGGAAGTAATTTTTCTTCTTATAAACACAAATAGTTACTATCCGAAGTTTTATATTTTGCAGTCCTTTTATAGTGGTTATAATGGAGGAACTTGGTGTTAGCGCATTCATGAGTCTTTGTATAGTATGGACTTCTTGTGCCTCAACGTGTGACTTAAAAGAAAATTGAAACTGACTTGCATAAAGTGAAGTTTGATATATGGTTATCAAAAAACTGAATCTCTAATTTTATAAGAGCTAATTTTCATGCATCACTATAAGGTAATTAATTTGAACAGGTCGTCTGAAAACATGAAGTTTGTGTGATACAAGAGCAGATTCAAAGTGAAATAAAAATCATATGTTTATGAAACCGTCTATAAAAACCTGTGAAAGGAAGTTTCGAACAATTGCATTCTGGTGTGTATACCACACTGTTTAAAGTCTTGATATATAAGAGGCTATGTGTTTGTGTGTAAGCTGATATATATATATGTGAAACAATTAGAAAGTCAAGAGATTTTTGCAGTATATTTGTTAGAAATTATAATATTGATTGAATTTACTTGACACTTTGAACGAAGGAAGTAAGTTCAAGATACTGGAATTTAGACGCAAATATTATTTTGATTTACTCTAACAAATATGGATTGAAATTAGTGAAATAAGGACAGCATTACGAATGAACTAAATTTTATTTCAAGCTCGCTCTTGTATGGAACTAGACGCCGAAACTGAACAAGTAAAACGGCTGCTGTGTTTGATATCCGAAATCAGAAAAATTCGAGTGTTGATATTTTCTTCAAAAATATAAATTTGATACTGAATAGCTCTGAAAAAAGTATACAGATATTAACCAAAATTCTGAAGGCAACAGGAAGATCCTCAAAATATACAATTAATTTACATTTAAAGTATGAAGAGATTAGGCACGTGCATTATCGATATTTCAGTGAATTAACAGACACATTAAATTCAGTGAATTTTATCTCGAGGCACAAGTGGTAACAGGACAGTGTTCAAGGATTATATTACATTACTCGAGATTGAGACTGTCAAGATGAAGGGGCACACACATTCCAACCACAGACACCACCACAACAATAACAACAACAACAACAACGGCAACAGTGCAGGAAATATGAAGGAGGCGGAACGCAGGCTCGGCGCAATCCTGAGAACTGCCCAGAAGCTGGCGGTGTCTCCCGAAGACCTGTCCCGCCTCGTGGCCGTGAAGAAGCTGACCCAGGGCACCACACGCTGCAGAACTTTCTGCCGACACGCGCTCCCTCTGCTGGCCGGACTGCTAACTCTACTCATGGTCCTGGTCATGTACTCAGTCGAGGAGCAGGGACTTGGCTGCCTCAAGAACACATCGGTACGTTAACGCTAGAATCACGGTTATCAGTAGCAGAAGTTTCGAGATGAAGTCTTCTCGGGCAATGAATTCACTGTTATCTCAGCGGTACGCGCTAGGATAATCGAGATAATACTAATATCACTGTGATATTGATTGTTGCATTATAGCCGGAACATTTGGTAGACTATAAGGAGATAAGCAGGAATGAGTACCAGGAATATTCTTGGGGGTAAAGGGCGGCCGGAGCGTAAGGCTGACAACCTTACCGCCATCTTTGTGTTGACTGTCTAGAAAATGTGGGAGCCTCAACGGCCTGGTACAGAGATACCTTTACTTACTTACTCTATAAGGAGATAATACTATGTTGTAAAAATACAAAGCATTTCGACAGAGGTTTTCTTGTGAATGGGGTCTGTTCTTCGACGAGAGGAGAGGTTTGTTGCACCGCGATTTCGCAGTAAAGTATGGTCCCACGGTTCCCACAGTTCTGAGGGAGTAAAATATAGTGATGAGTCCTACGATACTCGGAACCAAGAATGACTATGCTGGCGAGGACCTGCATTCATTTACCAGGCCCGACCAGGTTCCTTGGTTTTACTGTGTCTCTAAGCAACTGGTGAGATGTTTCCCGATTTCGAAGTAGCTATTGAGTACTTGTTCGGCTCGTACCACTTAAATTAGTCAAGAATAACCCCTATTTGCGAAAATTATTATCAAATTAGCTTTCAGAATCAATACTAATAGTATTCATTTCCAAATAAATACAATGTACGGCCTTGACGGTTATAAAAATCCCTGATTTTAGAGGCAGAAATACTCTCCGAAACATCGGACACGAACTGCTTATTAACATGGTTGATCGCCTGAGAAGACTTTATTGCATGCAAATTGGCGTCAAAGCCTCAAACCCGAAGTCGCAAAGGTGACGAAATGAGAGAATGAATTATAAATGAAGCAGAGAGATCATGGCAGTGGCCTGTTGCTAGCTATATTCCATTAGCGGCTGGTTAATGCTTCATGTATGAGAAGCAGGGGTTACTTAGTGATTAGGTCCTTATGTTATACTCCTCCCTTGTCTGTATCAGTGTAAGGTCTACTGCCACCTGGTGAACACCCAATTGCAGTAAAATAGTAATAATTCATTTCGTGTTTATTTACATGCAAACTTAACAGCACAGAGGCCAATAACAAAGTTGGCACGAGCGCATAGAAATACAGATATAACTAAAAGACAAAATTAAATAAGACAGTCTATATAATGGCATTAAATTAATAATAATTCCAAGAAAAATTAAAGTTAACATTAACAGGTGAGAAAATAAAATAAGTACATTTAGAATGGTTATTCCATTATGTGGTGAGAAAGGACAATACACATACATACACACATAGAAGTTAATAATAATAATAATAATAATAATAATAAGCCAATTAATTCTTATTTATTCCTGTGGCAGCTCAACATCCTAATTCAATTCAATTCATGTTTATTTACGTACAATTTAAGAGCATAGAGGGCAAGTAAAAGGTTAGCATGAGTACATAGAATTACATAAAAATAATTTAAAACAAATACAAAATTTGAGAGTCTACACAATGGCAATAGATTAATAATAATGCCAAGAAAAATTAAAGTTAACGTTATCAATGAAATAAGACCACATATGCACAAGTAATATTAAGAGTATCATTAACAATAATAATAATAATAATAATAATAATAATAATAATAACAACAAAAACACTGAAATTCATTTAGGGTGGACTAAAGAGACCAAGAAACAAAAAGATTCAGGCAGAAGGGATAATGACAATGCAAGTTATCGTCGGTCGATGTTTAGTTTCGAGATCATTTTAGCGAAATTATGTCACCAACACAAGTTAATTGGCGGCTTTGTATCAGAATCAAGAATTATATGAAATAGATTAATATTTTAAAGGCTGAATTTCTTCTAAGTATATATGATTCCAGGCCATACCTCACAGGAAACTATTACGTCACCACTACAGAGCCCAACCGGTTAATGTTGATTAAGGAAACAGTCGCTGTTTACTGTGAGAACCATACGGAACACACAGATACACTCTGTGGGCAGAATGCAGGGTTTTAGTGTGTTAAGGCAGGTGGTACATATAGTAACCACCGGGTTTTAAAGGCTTAAGATCAAACAGAAGAAGCTTGCGTCGGATGGATTAAGGATTTAGTTGGGAAAGCCAGAAGGAAAGAGACAATTAGGAAGACGTAAGTGGGACAATAATAAACTGGGTCTTTGAGAAATAGGATTGTATGGTAGGGATTAAATAAATGGGTAAGTATATGGAACAATAAAAAGGTCTTTAGAACGTAGTAATGAACCTTCGATTTCCATAAACTTTGGGGGAATTCTTCTCGAGAAGGACTCGGCTACATGGAGTTAGTTAATTAGCTAGTTAGTTAGTGAGTTAGTGGATGCATTTACGGTTGGTCTCCCTGCTACCAAGATTCGACAGGGTTTGCGAACTTGGGTAAATACTAAATTAGAAAAACACACACATGTATATATATATATATACTAGCTGTGCCCGGCCACGCCTTGCTGTGGCTCAGTCTGCCCGTTCTTCCCCAGTTTGATTTGAAATTAACTCGACGCATTGCTTCCGCTCCGCGAATACGACGACCTAAGTTGGATCTTCTGCGAGGCATTATTTGGATGAACTAAAGCAGATCGATTGCACCGAAGAAGAAGAAAGAAAGTTATTGCATATATATAGATATTTATACAATGTCTTATCTTAAACACATAAATAATTGCAAAACATTAAAAAAAGGAAAGAACACGAACTGGAAAACAAAGAAGAAACAAAAAAATAAAGAATACTGACGAAATATTTCAATTCAAACGCAGATCAATCGACACAGCCCAATTCCAACGCAATATAACATGAAATAATTAAATCAAAATGAAAATAAATCGAAGCTGTTTCTGCTTTGATTTCACTCGGAATCTCTTGTGATACTCGTGACCCCGTGACACTCGCGTTTCCATGGAAGTATACTTTCCGGTTTCATCCGTTGTTACGCAACGGAACCTATTATCCTATGCAGCGGTCTGTTCTAGCGTTAATATGGAAACGACTGCACTGAAGAAGAAGAAAGAAAGTTATAACAAAAACATATGAAATTGCCAAACATTAAAGAAGGAAAGAACACGAACTGGAAAACAAA